GCAGATACACTGTTCTCTTCAGATTAGATCAGTGTTTCTCAACTTCAGCAACTTTAAGATGTGTGGACTTTTAATTCCCAGAATTCGCAAGCTAGTGTTGAAGTTGAGAAATACTGATCTAACTCACTGCACTGCATAGGCAGGCAGAAAAAAACAATAGAACTTGAACCTTGACTTAAAGTTCAGAAACACTGCTGTATGGTGTAGAGATGTTAAAGAAAAGAAACTTCTAAAAAAGTAAATACGTCTATGGTGCTGCCAATAGCCACGTAGTCATCAGGAATTAACCTGTGGAGAATAATTTTAGTAGGCATAATTTGCATTGCCTGGATAGATTGGGAAATGATTTGCAGAAGTTTAAAATGCCCAAGTTTAAAATAAACTAATCCTGATGTAATGTCAAGTTCCTTGAATTTTAGGAAGCCTCCTCTTACTTGAGCCCAATCTCAATGGAACTTTCCCATCATTTTTTCCTGATAATATTAATAATATGGAATGATACAAGAAAAAAAATTTCTACAATAAAATTGTCATAAGTTTGGCAGTTATTGAGGAATAGTTCATATTTGATTGCAAATGTGTGCCTAGGTACAAGGTGAAAGTTGGAAAAGATCTCCAGGATGACATTCGGAGATGCAAACTTGTTAGAGAAATGATTGGTGCTGAAAATATACTGGTATGTATGTACATTTGTATGATGCCAAATAAGTTATATTTTAGAATTTGAAAAATAGAGGAAAAACTTACTAGAAACAGATTAGTCAAGTCTTCTTATCAGTGCCCTGAATTATTCCTAAAGCAGGATACAGAAGAATTTGATTTTCGTCTCGACATGCTTGCTAAATGTTTTTTATTTTTTATTTTAAAAAAAATGAAATAAAAATAACAGTACCATTTTTCAAAATAAATTTTCAGTAATATTAGCCAGCAGATATCATGTCATTTAGGGCATTGACCATCTTAGCAGTAGGCTTGTCTTAAGCCTATGTCACTTTACATCTGTTTTAATATAGTTATAGGAACAATCTACAGCATCATACTGAATTTAGACTGTATTTATTCATAGTTGTTGGATGCCAACCAAAGATGGGAGGTGGAAGAAGCCATAGACTGGGTCACTAAACTAGCTGAGTTCAAACCGCTATGGATTGAGGAACCAACTTCTCCTGATGATATTCTTGGACATGCAACAATTGCTAAGGTAAGAGACATTGTTTCAATTAATAGAGTTGCTATCCACCAGAAAGCCATGTTGATTTATTGGCTGGATAGCTACATTGGAACTTCAGGATTCTAGCAAAAGTTGTTAACATAGGCCTGGTAAGAGATCCTTTCACATACTCAACATATATTCCATTAAATTTAAATGACTTTCATATTTTTGGATTATAATACAGTAAAAGACTGAAATGTATTTTTGTGTGTGAGCTGATTAATCAGCACTACTCTTTGAATCATGTATTTTTAATATATTCGTGCCTAATGTCCCAATTATATATAAAAGATACCTATAGTCAAACTTCATTAGAGTATCAGGGGGCTTATATGTGCACCATAGTAGAAATGCAGTACTGGATAAGATCTATTCATTTCATGCTGATTTAATGTACATAACTGTACCATTTATTAATCACATTCTTTATGGTCACATGCTTTCTTATATGTAACTCTTAGGTAATTAACTAATTGATTAATTTCAAAGCAAAAAATATTAGCAGTTCTATTGATGTTTTCAAGTTTCTTCTAATTGTATAATATGGACAAACTGCAGAAACTGAATTTTGTTTATTTGTTGTAACTATGTTTGGACACGCTTAAAAACCTATGGTATATCACAAAATATTTTTTTTAGGCATTAGCACCATTAGGGATTGGAGTTGCAACAGGAGAACAAGTGAGTTTATTTACTAATGCTTAATTGTATATTTTGAATTTTATGATACCTCACCATAGTTTTCTTTACCTACATTTCTCTTGAATTCCATTTGGGAAATTTTGTTCTGATAGTTAAAATCAGATGATTTCTACTACTTGGTGCCATTATATCTTAAGGAAACAGATAAGTATGGACTCATGCACACTCATTCAGTTAATTTAACCTTAAAATGTGGATAAGTTTTTCAGAAACTTACTATCATTTATTTGATCCATTTCCATCATTGACTGGTTAGATCTGCCACAAGAAGTCTGACAGTTGGGAATGGCTGAAATGTTTCCTTGAGAGAAAGAGTTGATCCCCATGATTTCAAAGAATCCCATTCCGGACCTGATAGGATATAAAGCTAATTTGAGTAGCTTTATATCCTATCAGTTCCCACACTAACTCAATTTCAACAACATTTCCTGTAAGATTAGTACAGGAATAATGTAAGGTTGCACAATGACAATTGACTACAGTAGGGGGCAGCACTTCACCAACCTTGGCTGATCTCAAATGCTGTGAGGAGTCTAGATGGGAAATTTTAGGATTACAGACTAAATTGGGAGTCTAGTTCTTGGCTGGGAAATTTTACGATTATAGACTAGATTGAGAGTTTAAAAAGAATGCAGAAGACAACAGTAGCAAATTACAAATTTTGTAACAAATTTTGTGACCAATAAAGCACAGAAGTATCTACATAGTCACTGAAAATAAAGCTCCAGCAGGAGACACTACTTTTGCCATCATGATAGTGCATTTTTTATGACATACATTTTCATACATGACCACACAGTGTATGTATGTGATGGCATCAGTATTTAATCTATTTACATAGGAGTAAGCCTGGCTGGACTCCATGCTGCTTCTGAGTAGGTATGTACTCAGAATTGTATTAAATTCATGACTTAAACCTTCCTCCGTCTATCTTCTGGGTACGTCCTGCAATGTAAAATGTAGAACAAGAGGAAGCAGCAATAAAATTGTCCTTCAGTAAGCTATTTTAGTTTATCTTAGGATTCATATTTAGTCAAAGATTTGAAAATTATGGTCGATATAATAGTCAAGTAGATGTTTAGATTAGATTTTGCATTTTTATTCAGCTATTGAATCTTCCTCAAGCACCTGATATAGGCAGATGTTTTTGGATAGTATTAAAGATATTGCTGCAGGATGTAAGCTGTTGCAAGTAAAGCTGCCTTTTTCAATTGACTGATGGTGATTTTGTCGATGCCAGTGGGATTCAAGTAGTGGTCAAGTAGTGTTTTGGGATTGCACCTAAGGCACCTATTACTGTTGGTGCTGTCTTTACTTTCTTTTTCCACAATTGTTCTGCTTCTATTTGCAGATCTTTGTATTTTGGAATTTCCTCCAGATCTTTCTCCTCTATGCTACTGTCTCCAGGCACTGCAGCATCCACTATCCAGACTTTTTTTTGTCTTTCTTATCAACAGTTGTTAAGTCTTGGGTATTGTGTGGTAGATGCTTGTCTGTTTGAATTCTAAAGTCAGAGAACATTTTAGCTTCTTCATTTCTATTACTCTGTTTATTCTTCCTTGCAGACAAATGCCATTTCTTGCAAATACAGGTAGTCCTTGACTTACGACCATAATGGAACCTGCCCATTACAGATTCAAGTTGTAATGGTTTATAAAGCAGGTCATCCATGTGATCAACCCAATTTTATGAACATTTTGTGGTGGTCATTAAGCAAACCCTACAGTCATTAAGCATACTTATTACCGCAAACCAGAAGTAAATGCCGGTTTTCAGTAAAAAATGTTGTACCTCACAGTCACATAACTGTGGGCTATTGCAAATGGCCATAAATGTTGGATGGTTGCCATGTGCCCAAAATGTGGTCACGTAGGGCGTGGAATAGCCGGTGATGGTTGGAACTTTGAAACTGGGTTGTAAGTACCTTGGGAGGAGTCAATTGTAACTTTAAATGGTCGCTAAGCAACCAGCCATAAGTCAAGGATTACCCGTATTCCAATGCACCATGTCAATTTATATCTTGCTAATGTGTAATGCTTATTATTATTGTACCCATAAATACAATTTTCTTTACACTGTTTATAAGTTTAAGAAAAAATCCATAGGCTGTAAACATGTTAATTTTCATGTGCTTAAAACAGGGTTAATTATAGCTCAGAATTACTCTTTTTACACCAGTATATCTCCATGCTATTATATAACTAACTGGTTTTATGGAATAGTACATTATAACTTTCCATCCCATTTAGATTCCAGATGTTGGGGAGATATGCAGTGGTTGTAGGTTTTTGGAGTATAAAGGGAAAAATATCTAGAATAAAATGCTCTAAATTACTTGGATTTTCCAGACATTTTTATAAGCATTTTCTAATCATGCAGTATTTTGAGTTAGAGAATGTTTGTTTTCATTATCTGCAGTGCCATAACAGAGTGATGTTCAAACAATTCCTGCAGGCTCAGGCCCTGAGCTATCTCCAGGTGGACAGTTGTAGGCTTGGAAGTGTCAATGAAAACTTGTCTGTATTGCTGATGGCCAAGAAGTTTCAAAGTAAGACTCCTGCAAATGTTGCAGTAACAC